CATCAACAAAGTACAGAGATTTTAATTCCAGAAAGGTAGGGATAAATTATGAATAATGAAAAATCTTAATATTACTGATATACTTAACTTTTAACTGGGTGGGATTCTGATGTAACTTCCAGAGCTGGCCATTCCCACCATAGCCACACCCACCCAGCCTCCCAAGCTCAAAGATAAGATTGGCCCTCAATGAAATCAAGTTTGACACCGCTACCTTAATCACTACACCAAACTGGCTCTCATCGAAAAGTTAAGTATATCAGTAATATTAAGATTTTTCATTATTCATAATTTATCCCTACCTTTCTGGAATTAAAATCTCTGTACTTTGTTGATGTTTTATACGGGGTGGAGCTGGTCGTGCACTGCTGGGTCGTGGTAGCCTTCTGTTAAGTAGGGAAAAATGTTTTAATAATAAGCAATTACTATTTACTGTTACTGCTATTATTTCTATATAATTACAAATTAATTTCAAACATCCTCTGCATATATCTTTAATTTCAGATATAAATGCACATTTGAGAATTTAGCAAGTATTATTAATGTATCTGAATTATATATATTTCAACTGTAATATATCTAAACAAGTTTAGATTGATTCACATACTTTAAATTGCAATCTTAAATTCTAAAAATAAATTCTAGCAATACAAGCGTTTTCACTTGTTAATCTTGATCTAAACAGGCTATACACTCTTTATAGGCCTGGTTTATGGACAACAAAGATCTGACAGTTACAGCAGAGGTGGAACAGTCAAGGCCCAGTGGCATCCAACTGTGGCTCTCTAGTTAGACTCCTGAGAGTGCAATGTCAAATGTCCAAATTTCAGTTTGGTTATTTTTAAAAACAGGAGAAAGGAATTAGAAATCATCACAAACTGAAACCATTTAGTTATAATCCCATTTTATATTCCTTCTCTCACAACTCAGATGATAATGTTCAACTGTATTTAGCAACAAAATGGCTGAACTCAAATGACAATATGATTTCATTTAAATGAAGCAGGTTGGAAATATTTAACTCCTTCAAAACCTTCTTGAAAACTCCCAAGGATCTCAAAATAATACAAAAATATTATTTATTATTTATTATTATAGTATGTGGATACTGCCAAATGCTAATCTAGTTGAACATATGAAAAATCTTTCTCCATTGTTATAAAAAGAAATTTTACATTTCTGTCCGTGTGAATATAGGTATTCTTTCTAAGAGGTACTGCTATTTTGGGAAACTATTTTTTTCAACTAACAGAGCATCCAGAGTGTAAATAATAACTACTTGAACTCCTGTTCATCTCATGTTTGTACTACTGCAATGCACTCTACATGGGGCTACCCTTGAAGAGCATTCGGAAGCTTCAATTGCAGCAGAGTGCAGTGGCACAGGCAGTTCTTGGGGTTCTTAGGGTGGCCCACATCACACCACTACTACACAAGCTGTAGTGGTTGCCAGTTTGCTTCTGGATGCAATTCAAGATGCTGGTTTTTACCTTTCAAATCCTGTATGGCATGGGTCTAGGTTACTTGAGGATTCATCTCACCTTGGGACTGAGCCACTATCTCAGAGTAAGAGGGACAGTGTGGTCTGTCAGACAATAAATTCCAGCTGGCAGGATCCAGGGAAAGGCCTTCTCTACCATGGCTCCTGCCTTTTGGAACATCTTACACCCTAAAATGAGATTGGCTCCCATTTTTCTGATCTTTTTTAAGGGCCCAAAGACCTGGCTGTGCCAGATGCTTTGGGGTCCCAATGGGGGTGTCAGGCCTGCAATTATATTCCTTTTAGAATTTTGGCCTGCCACACTTTCTCTTATTTCATTATGCTGTTTCTTTAAGTATAGTCGATGGGAGGGGGGGAATAAAAGGAGGTAGGATTGTGGAATGTATTGTTGTCATTCTTTACTAGAAGCCAAGGTCATCTTTTGTCTCTGCACCTTCACACCTGATCGGAAGCAGTT